TGAGTTTGCTCGGTTTGCTGCACATGTTTGAACCTACTAGCGGGTACCTGTGATTTGGCGTTGGTCCAGTTGACCATGGCAGACAGGGACTTCTCCACTGGAGTTGACGAGGATTTTGCGCTTACGCCTGATGCTGAAGAGGGCCGAGTGTACCATGAATGATATGGGGTCCATGACGTGTTACATCATGGGTTATGATTGGACACACACACACACACACACACACACACACACACACACACACACACACACACACACACACACACACACACACACACACAGAGCAAATGCCCATGAACTCTGTTGCATGTATAGGTGCCATCGGGGACAGTGATAGTCGGGTGTCCCTTCCTTAGGCGTCTGTACCATAAAGGTCCTGAATTGGCAAGTCAGGAGCCAGTGCCATTTACTGAAGGCCAACTGAGAAAAAAAAAACGTTCCAGTGGCAAAAGGATTGGATTCCTCAGACACCTCACCTTTAGTTCTTTGTTCCATCGATTTCCTCTCAAATCTGCCTCATCTGACTCTCGTACGCCTTGGCCGTTAGGTGCCGCCCAACCAGCAGAACCGTTCTCAAGCTCTAGGAGCATGCGTGAGCTCAACAGCTTTTCCACCTTGCTATGACGGAAGTTATTCAACTTGTATGTCATTCTTCCTTTTGAACTGTGATGCTCTTCCCAGGTTTGCTTGGCCCATCGGAGACCTCCGGGACTGGATTCATCAATGACAGCAGATGCAGCGATCTCCTCCATCAATGGAAAAGGCTTCAGGATCTGTCACAAAAAAAAAAACAGTACGATTCAAGATTTTCTCGAGTCCAATTCACACCAAGAGAGAAAGACAAGAACGAAACCAGTCCCGCTGTGGCAGCTCAGACATCAATATGAAAAAATCAGGCAATCGACAGAGGTCAGGACAAGAGCGCCTTTAGGACAGCAAGAGCAGCGGTGATCGGGTGTTTGGGTCCACCGGTGGGCACAATCATGGGCAGTTGATTGGCCATGGGTGCCAACACTGCAAATTTAAGAGCCTCAGGGTAAAACAAGGACTCGAAGATAATACCAGTAACAATAACAGTGGGGAATGAATCATTTCTGAGGACTGTATCCGGTCTAATAAGTCCAGCAGGCTTTGAATCATTTCACAGGACTGTATCAGCTCTAATAAGTCCAGCAGGCTTTGAAATTTGAATCATTTCACAGGACTGTATCAGGTCTGCGAGAGAGAGAGAGGGAGAGAGAGAACCCAGTCTAACTAACTACGTCCCCCCCCTCCCACACACACTATCCAGTGTAGTATCTGCTCCGATCAGTTTCATAACTGATCCCTGGTCCATCGAGACCTTTTTTTTTTTAAAGCATGCACACGTGTGCGACACACACACACACGCACACACACACACACACACACACAGAGAGAGAGAGAGAGAGAGAGAGAGAGAGAGAGAGAGAGAGAGAGAGAGAGAGAGANTATCGAAGCTACGGTAATGGATTTCTTCACGGGCTGTGATGAATCGAAAAGCGAACTAAATCTTCTTCTTTTTCTTCACACACACACTCACACACACACAAAGAGAGAGAGAGAGAGAGAGAGAGAGAGAGAGAGAGAGAGAGAGAGAGAGAGAGAGAGAGAGAGAGAGAGAGAGAGGTTATGATCGCTGCTACTAGTCGTGGCTGTATTGAATCGGCGAGCAAAGAGAGAGAGAGAGAGAGAGAGAGAGAGAGAGAGAGAGAGAGAGAGAGAGAGAGAGAACACATCTATATGTGTATAAGTCAACTATCGCAGAATTGCGTTTCTCCCGACATCTGAGAAAGAATATTGTTGTTTAGCGGGAGACAGGTATGCAAAGTGTGACACACACACAATAGGTGAGTGCAAATCTGAGCCACCATGTTACATGCTGCGCCTGCAACAGGCTGCGCGACCCCCCTTTCAAGCCCGTGACGTTTTCAGGCCAAAAGCCTGAAAACAAGGGCCTACAGGCCCCGTGTCGTTTCAGCCTGAAAGCCCGAAAACAAGGGCCTACAGGCCATGTGTCGTTTCAGCCTAAATCAGGGCCTTTCTGGCCCTGAGTATTTTCAGCCTGAAACTGGCTGCAGGACTTTCATTGCCCTTTCGAGTTCGAGGGCTGTTCTTTTCGCCGGCGCGTGTTTTTTTTGCCCATTCGAAACTCTGTTGAGACATAAATGCACTTACCCCCCCCCCCCTCCCTTCCCCCCCCCACACAAAAGAAAAGAAAAGAAAAGAAAAAAAGGATGAGAGAGAGATTTAATTGAAAGGAGAAAACGCACCGTCAACGTCTCCAAGATGATTCGTATATCATGTTCTCGTCCAACACGAATAACATCCACAATAAGATGTCGCGAGGGCATTGACCGGACCTGCAAATGCACAAGCACCAAAACAGTTGTGCTCAGACTGCTTATTGTGATCTGCAAACCGAACGGTTACCTCTGCAGTGTTCGTTTGAACGCTTCGATTTGTACTTTTCATCATCTCCTCTGATGAAAGATCCAAAAACAAATCATGAATGTCGGGTATACTCACACCTAAGGTACGGCATACTCACACTAGGCCCACAAAATCGCAACATCGCAAAATGAGTGGCCATAAGTTGTAACCAAAGGACTCGATCTGGCCGCTCAATTTGTTATTTTGTGGTTTTGAGGGCCTAGTGTGACTATACTCATAGGGAGACAGATTGGAGCAAAGGGAAAAAAAAAACAATTGTCTGCGAATTTGTAAAAAATTGAAAATTTACTACAAAATCATTTTGGCTCCAACCAAAGGCATATACTACTCACTGGTGCAGCTCCTTGCTGCTCTGTATGCTCACCTAACCATTCAGGCTGGGAAGACCAGGGGCGATGTAAAATCTGGTTCTCAGCAAAATAGGCTCGGCAAAAATGAAACACGCACAATGCGATCTTCATGTGGCGTTATGTTCTATGTATTTACAACTTCCCAGAGAACACATTATGCAGTACTTCTAATCTAAGTGAAGAGTTCTGTTTTCGGAAAGGGACATTTCCAAGGGAACCTGGGGGGCAGTGCGGGCAAGGTCCCATTAGCAAGTGGATTAGGCAGGGGACGATAGTTCGAACATCAGAAATTGAAGTGAAGAGAAAATCATGCTGTCCCTTGATCCAATGGCTGCTGTTGTACATCACTAGTACCTGGCCCACAGATAGTCCGCAGGCCCCTCACCACGACTTTTGCCTGGCCTGAAACGCGATTACGGCCTCATATGAAATTTATCAACGGGGGCCCCGGAAAGTCTCGGCCGTTAACGAGACGCATCTCTGAAAGATGGATGTGAAAGGTACTGGTGGTTTAAACATAAATGTCGTGCACCGCAGGTCGCTGTCTGCAAAGAAAATTTCCCGAGAACAACGATAACGATGATATCTGACACACTCGACACCTTTGTAGAAGGGCTCCAACATGCCCTTAGCTAATGCACATAATATGATGATATTCCTCATCCTTGTCTGAAACTCAACATTATTTGAGGGAGGGAAACGGACAAAGATTAGAGCAAATCTGGTATGGACAGAAGGTCATTCTGAGCCAGCAGCGTCGGTGTTAGCGAAGGAGGGGTCAACATCTTACCGATATGTGAAGGGTATGTGCGGTGTCTGCGCATTGGCCACTTACCCTCCTATTCTTGCAATAGCTCTCTCTGTATCCTGAGTTATTCAGCCACCTACTCTGTTATGAATTCATTTATTCTGACTGCTGTTCCCTTTGGGTCCGCTACCATGTTCAAGTCTCTCCAAATTGAGTGTCTTATGCCATGATCCAGCTGAGATTGCGGCGTGGATGAACTCCATGATCATCTCATAAACTCTTGCACCTCCTGGCCTGAGAGGACCACATCCCCAGAGTCCCATTCCTCCATGCACCATTGGGAACAGATGGCCCACATCTGATTCACTGCTCTTCTTTTTTCTTTTCTTTTTTTTTTTTTTTTTTTTTTTTTTTTTTTTTTTTTTCAAAGAGAACACATCTTTTTTTCATTTTTGAAACAATGCTCCAATCTATTCATGGGGAGCAACTCCAATCTATTCATGGGGAGCAACACGTGCTGGGAACCGGTCCCAGCGTCGCATTTGAAACCATATTTGAGAACAAAATGAGATACCACGGCCATCGCCCGGCTTCAGCTGAGCATAGCAATTACACCTTCTCTAAGGGTCATGAGCAACTACTAGCCTACTGCCTGAAGTTTAGAAGGAAAATGAGAAGTCTCTTTTCTGGCTATTTATCCCCTGAGAGTTTTCGGCCGGAGAACAAACTACCTTAGTGTGATTTAACAGCCCCACCTCAGCCTGCCTCACATCCTCGATACCTAGTCTCTACCAGGCCTCACACCCCCACTGCTAGGTTACAGAGCAGTGCAACCCACTCCAGAACAATCCCCCATGCTAGGTTACAGGGCGGAGCAACCCGCCCCGTCTCCGGCCAGTGTTGTCTATGTACCAGCTCGCCAGTGGACACTGGAGTGCATTCCACCCTCGACAACTCCCCATATCTCTCTACCAGGCCTAATAACCCCGCATAACTCAGGTTGCAGGGCAGCGCAACCAAGCCTGAGCACCGACCAGCGTCATTCTCGCCTTGTCCATTCGCCAACCTATGGGTCTAACCGCGTCAGCAGAACATCCAGCGAACCGCCTATCACCACAATAGCTGGAGTTCCAAGACCTCCAACACCCTCATGCGCTGATTGTAATGCTCCACTGGAAACATCCATTTATCCCTAACCCCACTCCGGCAAGACTTACCACAACGGAGCCACCATCTCCACCACTGCAGCAGGCCTCTTTCTGCCCTGGCCTACAGCCAGGGCCTATCAGGCTATTTTGCCTGTTCGGCCTGCAGGACCAGGCCGTGGCCTGACCCCACAGGCCATGTGCTCACTCAGTCCAGTCCATTCCTGCCCGGTACCACTGACGGTACCAGGCCAGTCCAGTCCAGTCCGGTCAGTCCGCTGAGGGTATACCCCAACCGCAGTCTGGTTCAGTTGATTCTTCATTTTGCACACTTTGGAGTGCGTGCGTGTTGAGTCTGTGTCGGAGCTGCGCCGTCCCTTCCATCTCCATCTCCATCTCCATCACCCTCACCTCTTCATCCCCATCCTGACGGACCGCCATCCCAGCAGGTCTGCCACACTGGTATCAGAGCGGGAACCATCCCGCGCCCCCCCCCGCCCCCGCTGACGGGCGCATACGTGGCAGGCTGCTTTTCGCGCCCCCCCCCCCACTGATGGGTGCCCACGTGGCGGGCTGCTTTTCGCACCCCCCCCCTGACGAGCGTGGCGGGCTACTTTCTGCGGGAGTGCAGCTGCCAGAATTTGAACCTGAGCAGCTGCTGGCCATGCATGCGTGGAGCCAGTGCTTTAACACACTGGCTGAACTCTACAGTTGTCCTAGCTGTGTGGCATGTTGGTGTTGAAGAAGTGCCACGCCAGCTATTTACCTCCCCCCCGGGAAGCGAGCAGCAAGCAGTGGTCATCACGACAGCAGCGGGTGAGCTGTGATTTTGCGCCCCCCCCCCTCATGGTGGGCGTATCATGGCTGCTGCTGCCCGCGCAAGTGGCCATCTGCAGTAGTGCACATGGGAGGGTGCTGAAGATCCCCCATGGCCAGGGCGCTGCACTACGGTGAGACCTGGGTGGCTGATCAAGATCTCAGCACACCCAGATGATGATGCTCATGATTACTTTTTCTACTGCTGCAGCGGCAGTTTGGCAGCAGTGAAACCCCCCCTGGCTAGGGGGCTGCGCGTCAATGCAATCAGGGTGGTTGATCAAGATCTCAGCCAACCCTTGATTATTTGATTATTTTTATTTTTTGCTGCAGCAGCAGGCTGCTAATATCTTGAAGGCCAAGATCCAGTGGATCTTGGTAACCTTGTCGCTCTTAGCCAACCAAGAGCCTGGTATCACCTCTTTTCACTAACCTGCTCTCCTACCCCACCCTCTCCCTCTCTCCCCTACACCATCTCACCATCTTTTCTAACTCTACCACTACTCCCTCCTCCTCCCTCCCCCTCCTCCTCCCTCCCTCTTCACTCATCTTCCACCATCTTTTTCTCCCCTCCCCCCCCCTACTCACCATCTTCTACTAATCTCTTCCGCTCGTCTCCACTTTTCTCATCCCTCTCTCTCCCATTCTCCCACCCTCCTCTCCCCCTTCCCTCCCCCAACTAGAACCCCATCATCCCCACACCTCCCACTTCAATCTTTTTCTCTTTCTCACCTATTTCTGTCTTTCTTCATCACTTTCGATTAGAATTCAGGAGATTATCCCCACGAAGTTGATGCCCTGGACTACGATCTGAGAGGATCGTTTGCAACCGACCCTGACCGCCGATAAAAAAAAAACGGAGACTCTAACTTGCAGTTGTTAGGTATTTTGTCAATTCCTCTCATGCTTGAGCAGAGAGCTCGCTGTATCATGGGCAATCTGCTTGGATGGTTCAATTACGCCGAAGAATCAGCAGTATGAACGATCCCTGTCCCATATACATCGGTAAGCACATAAAGGGCAACCGGAGTCATGATAATCCTAACCTGTTGTATATCAATTGCCACATTGTCAAGTACTTGGCACAAAAACACGGCCTTCTTTTCTTCTGCATTCAGATAGATATGAATCATATCATTCATATGTCTCATCATGCAAGCCCATCATAACTTGTGAAGACACTTAGTCTGAGCAGACATATCCAAGGCGGGACCTTGGTCCTTGCAGAGATCGTGGTGACAAATGTGTCGGCAACACCAATCCATTTTGTATAATAATACACATTGTACACTATTGGGACACTGGACCCCCTTTCCAACAAGTGCTGCTCCCCACTAATAGATGGAGCCCTCCAATAGGGGGGAAACGACTTGAGGAGAATGCTCTTATCACCTCGTCAAGTCACAATCCCCACAACAAGAGGCTTCAAAAAAAAAAAAAAGGTAACCCTTTTGTGTTTTCATTTTGTGGTTTATTTTTAAATTTTACTTACCTTTTTCACCTTGAGCTGGAAATGGCCTGGGCTGACCTCCTCTGGCTGATAAGTACACTTTAGGAGATCTATTTCCTGCTTCCCGGCAGTGCTCACATCAAACTGCAAGAAGAAACAAAAAAGGAAAAAAGAAAACAAAGAATGAGGCACCAATGTATACGAGAGAAGAGTTAGGAAAAAAAAAAAGAAAAAAAAAAAGGAGAGAATTCTTGACATGAAAGGGTGAATTACATCTTCGTAGTAGTTCGTACTTAAGGCAAGGTCCCACTTGGCAACTGGCCAATCTCCCAGTTAGTATACGATCAAGGTTCGGCTTAGTACCTGGCCAAGGTCCCACATAATACCTGGAGGTCCTGGCCCACTTAGGCTACACACCAGCCTTTGGACCCTCCTAAGTCCCACGTAGTTTTTGCCAGGTTTTCGGGCAACCCTTACTTTTCTTTTTTTCTTTTTTCCTTTCTTTTTGGGTGGGGTGGG